CTTGGCGGGGGCATCGGAGCGGGGGGCGAAGACGGCGCGGAAGAGGAGAAGGGGCGCGGCTGGGACCATGGGACCGGTGGTGTGCGGGTGGTCATGGTCGACTTCCAGGGAAGAGCGCCCGCTTGAAGCAGGCGGCGGCTTGCCAGTCGGAATTCGGAAGCCCTGCTGATGTTAGTGAACGATCTGGCGTGGAAGGGGTGGTGACGGGGTTCAGGCTAGCTCATACATGATGACAAGCCACAGCAATTGGCAATGGCAGCGTCGTGAAGTCAGCGAAAAGCTTAGGGAGCTGCGTCGGAGAGTCGAGATGGTGTTTCTGGTGTTCAATCGACAAGCCGGAGCTCAAAATCATAGAGCGGAAAAAAGAAACCGCCGAATGTCCGCAAAAGGCCCACACAACCACCCAATCACGGTGCGGTCGCGTTTTGACTGCCACCACGAACGCGGCAGGTGCAGGGCAGCCTGGCACTTGCTTGGCTCGCGCCGAAAAATACCCTTCGGCGACTGGAGCTAAGCTTCAACATCCTGACCACCACCAACAACCAACGGCAACTGTCTTGAAATCGCCAAAACACCCGAGTGTCGACTACTCGACAAACAGACATATACCGGGCCAAACTGTTGAGAAATCACGAGAAGGCTCTCCATCACAACAGGCCGCCGTCTTTCGCAATCCGCACCAAACACAGCAGGCACCATCTGGCGCCATGGCATACAACCCATATGGAAGTAAGTCTTGATCTAGCCTTCCCCCTCAGCTCTTGATTTCCCCCTGCTTACACCCTCAGACAACCCGTATGGACCGCCGCCGACATTTGGCGGTTATCCTGGTGCCGCCGGCGCCGGTGCCCCAGGCATGGCTCCCCCGCCCGGTCTAGGTATGTCATGTCGCGACGCACCTCACCTCCAGCTACTGACCACTGCAGGCCCTCCGCCAGGCATGTCTTCCGCTCCGGGATTGGCGCCACCACCTGGTGTCCAGCAGTCCAACAACGCTCAAGCTAACCGACAAAGCGGCCTCCCGCCGAACTTTCAAGCTCCGAACATCCCCAACAACTTTGACTTCAGCGCACCCGTGATCCGACTCTCTGCACTGGGTGGTAAGCCGGGACCTCAGGGTGATGGCGGTCGCAAGGACAGCAGCGCTCCTTCCTCGGGGAGGCCGGGCCTGGGCATGGACAGGAGGGACGACCAGTCGAGGAACGCCGCCAGGGACAACATCCAGTCGCTCGTGCCGCCTACTAACGAGGAGAGACTGCGCACCATCTTCATACACAAGATCCCCGAAGGACTCGGCGCAGACGAGAACATTGAACGTCTGCTCAACTCGGTCGGGAGGCTGCGCAGGTGGGATTCGGCGGCATCACAACTGTCCGATGGCAAGGGAGCAAAATTTGGCTTCGCACAGTACGACGACCCCGACTCGTTCGCCACAGCCGCCGACATTCTCCAGGACGTTGAAAGGCCGTTGGCACGGCAGGGACCCAAGGAGGCGCCTGCCGATGGCGATGCCTTTGAAGGTGTTGAGATGGTCAAACTCCAGGTTACGATCGACCCAAACTCTCTCAAGTATGCGGAATCTTACAAGGAGAGCAGAGGCGATGAAGCCGCGACCGAGACACGACTCGAGGCGGCCAAGGCGGCTCTGAAGCAGGTCATCAAGGACTTGGTG